AAGAAATTTAGATGAAGATAGGTTCAGTTGTACCCGTAATGCCAATGATGCAATTTATAAGAAAAATTTCGTTGAAATATTTTCTGCTTCTTTAACTACAGTAGCAGCAAAAACAACAGCCATAACATCAACAATGAAATCAACGATAGTTACAACAATTGCATCAACAACTAAAACATCAACAACAACACCGACAGTCGCGTCAACATCAACAACAACATCAACAACAACATCAACAGCTGCATCAACATTCTCAAACCTGAAAATTATTCTCAAAAAGATTTCGCAAGATTCTGGATTTCAGGAGCAAAACGTTTCAAGGCAATTTACACGGCCAAGAGTTTCGCTACAAAATCTTAAAAGAGAAAAACCAGAACAACATTTCCAACAACAAAACAATCTCTCACAACAACAACCACCACATAACTTGCAACAACATCGCCAACATTCTGCCCAACAAGTATACACAGTCTCTAACAATTTATATACACACACAAATTTTCATATTGGACCAACAAAACCCAGAACTGTTTCCAGCTTAAACAAAAACATTAACATCAGCGAACAACGACAACAACACTTCCCAACAACAACTACTACTACTGCTACTACTACAACTACTACTACTGCTGCTGCTGCTGCTACTGCTGCTTCTAATACTACTGCTATCACCACATCATCATTAGAATCATTAGCAGCAAAAAATTTAGCAACATCTCAAGAATTAAACTCAGGCAAGCCAAGATATTTCAGCAATTCAGAAATACTACGTGTTGTCAAGAGTAAACAAAAGTTAAAAAGCTTTTCAGACAAAGAGCAAGTTGTTGGGAATGGCAGTCAACAAACTCAACATTGTCATCAAGACGGGCAACCGTGTCGACATTTGTTAACTTACTACAAACATGATAAGTTACGCCAACAACATCAACAACAACATCAAAAAATACATCAACAGCAACAACATCAACAACAACAACATCAACAACATAGCCACTGCAAACAATATTACACGACACCAGAACTACAACAAACCTCTGACCAATGCCTCAACCATCATCGTCATTTCAACTCACAACAACAACAATTTAACGTTCCAACTCCACAACAACAAAATGATGAAAATGATCATTACAGTGATGAGAGTCGACAACAACATCAACAACCATTGCAACAAAATCACCTACATGGGAAACAACAACAACTCCAAATTCATCAACACTGCGATTATTATTGTCGACAACAACATCAACATCAACAGCACCAACAACATCATCATCAACAACAGCTAGAACAACAAAAACATAGAAAACACCCAACATCAACAATCACTCAAAACCACTCAGCAACATCATCACTTCAACTTGTTGATATAACACCACTACCGGAAAACAACAAAAAAGAATTTTCAACAATCAACACCAAAGAACAACTAGCCATCTATAGCAAAGAACAAACAGCAATCAGCACCGAAGAATCAACACTAGACATTAAAAAAGTAATAACGACATCACCAAAAATCCAATTTGTAAATATTGCTAAGAAAGACAGCGCTATAAAAATCATCAGAGAATCTACTACCGAAGTTGATCAGCTGTCTGCCGGAAGTGATATACAACCGGAAATAGATAAAATAGATGTTAAAAAAAGTAGCTATGATGTTAACATCAGTTGGAAAGAAAGAGAGGAAAGAGAAATGAATGAAAAAATGAATGATACTAAGAATGAGAGATCCAGCTGGAGGAAATGCTATTGCTACATATGTGGTATCAATTGTGGTATTTGGCTCTGCTGACAGATGGATGGATGAGTGGATGGACAAATGGAGAAGTGAATGGATGAATGAATGGATGAATTAATGGATGAATTAATGGATAGATAGATGGATGGATAACATCACAAATGAGTAATTTTCTAAATGGTCAACAGCACTTGTAAATCTAGAAATAATATGCGATCGGCCGGAATATCTTTGCGTTTGAACCCAGTGACTGTGACATCAGTGTCAGGAACTTCAAGCATACGCCATCCATCAATCCATGTCTACACTTAAGTGTAAATGTATCCAATTAAATCATCAACAATATTGGAACATTTAATAAACAATTGAGAAAGAAATAAGCATTATTGTATTAGTTGCGAAAAATGGCTCATACGGTTTTTCAATTTGTTTAAACTTTCATTCAATAAAGTTATAAAAACAAAAAAAATTGTTTGTTCTGAACAAAAGTGGAGTTAAATAAAAATGGAAATAATACATAATTATAACTATAATTATAATTATAACTATAATTATAACTATAATAACAATAGAAATTGTAATAACATTCTTTGTATTAGAAGTAATACCATAGTGGTGATTTTGGTATCAGTATTAATATTATACTAATACATATATATATAATGAAATGAAATAAATTTATTATCATTCTTATTATTAATATAATGATAACATTTATTATTATTTGTTTTATTTTCATTTCAATTAGCATAACATTTTGAAAAATCGTTTACAAACTTACTCGGAAGAATGAAAACAACAAAAAACAAAAAGAATAATAAGAAATTAAAATAATAAAAAGAATAACAAGATGAGCAGTAGTTAGTATTAATCGTATGCATTATGAGCCTACACTCATTGTCTGGCTATACTCTCTTAAAATAGCTACAGTAGAATGAAAGTAGTAATTAGTTGTGTTTATAGAATACTTTTACTCGATACTTTTGTGTTACGGAGTAATTTATCTATTTTCAGTGGTCTTAAATGAAGTTCGATAACTATTTCGAGTTGAATCGATAAGATAAATTGAATAGTAATCGAGTATTTTGGTCGGGTTACTTTTGAAGAGTAATCAAAATAACACGGTTTTTTGAAAAGTAACCAAAACAAACATTTAACGCAACCAAACTTGCCAGAGGCAACCAAACAATGGTCGGCTGTTATTTTATGGTTACATTCAATGGATTTAACGAATGAGTTTAGAAATAGTTTTTTTTTAGGAATATAGAAAGAATAATCTTAATAAAACGTAAAATGTTAACATAGATTGCTAATTTGTTGAATTTTTTATGTAAATTAAAAAAAAATTTGATATAAATTTTTGGAGTGATAAAATCGATATTTTTGTCGAAATGACTCTAAAAAAATTGCTCATCTGTGAGTTAATTTATTTTTTACTTCATCCTTAGTATTTATTTTCAAAACAACAACATCAACCACAACAACAACATAAAATCATCAACATAAACAACAACACAACAACATCAACAACAACATAAAAACATCAACAACATCAACAACAACATCATCAACAACAACAGCATCATCAACAACAACACAACAACATCGACAACACAACAACATCAACAACAACATCAACAACAACAAAACAACACCAACAACAACATCAACGAAAACAACAACAGCCGCCATTATACCATCCCACCGTCCGTTTTCATATTAAACATTCTTTCCAACAAAATTATACTTTTTTTTATGAATATCACATAAATACATACTACAGATTTACACATTAAATTTTTTCCAATAATTTCATTAAAACAATTTTTAATTTTTCAAAAAAAAAAAAAAAGTTTCCGCTCTCTGCCTAGTAGAGCTGGCCAAAAATGTGAGAGGCCCATGCCCGGAGCCAATCTATTTTACTCATTCAATGATGAAAAAGTCACTGGAATCTGCAAGGAAAGATTGCAACAGCCAGAATTTAACACTTCTGGAGATCAAAGACAAAACGATGCAGACTGCAGTAAATGTTTATTTAAAGAAGAACTTACTAACCGCTGAATCCCTCTGGCTGAATGCCTATCACATTAATAATGTTTTCTTCTGGAAGACAGATGTAGGTTACGAGGAGATATTCGTTGATAAGGATCATCCTATAGACGACTTACTATTAGTAATGTGTTTAGGAATGGACACATGTGCCTGGTGGACCACCTCTTCTACACCGTATACCAGATTCAACTACCTTTGCTACTGTAAACAACAAGGTAACTATAATATAACTTGTAAGTATGTTGCTGTTGTTCAATTGCTGTACCTCTCAGACGAAAATGTATGAAATATTTTTAAAGTTAATCGTAATTCATCGGAGCATGGTGTTTATTGAACTGGGAATTCGCACATACGAACGCGTGTATTTTTAATTATCTAAATACACATGAACTTTATTTCATTTTTAATGAAATTAAGTTGGTTTTTACTAAATAAAATGGCTGTTTGCGTATAACGAACATTTTATTGATATAACTTAAAGAAAACATCTGCTTATAACGAACTACCACTGAAATGCTAGTATAAAGCCCGCTATAGAGCAAATCATTGCTAGAAATCATCGGGTATATTCCGTGTTAAATTTTTTAACTTTTATAAAACCTTGTGCAGATGGCCAAAAAGACACGATACTGCCACTACCATCACCTTTTTCATCATCACCATCGTCGTCGTCGTCGTCTTCATCATCACCACCATCATCATCGTCTTCTTCATCATCACCACCATCTTCTTCATCATCATTGGCATTGGGGGTGGGGTTAGGTTTGGGTGTTCCTTGTCTTATCATTATCATCATTTTGGTCATCATTTTTCGGCAGAAGTTGGCATGGTAAATTGATATTTTTCTATTCAGTTTTTATAAAAATATCTCATTCAAACTAGAAACCAACAAACAAGAAGAAAACTAATGTTCATGTTGAACGCCTTTTTTTATATTATTTGCCCTCGACTGCAATTGATTAATTAACAACAACTGATTCTTGAGATTTATATTAAATAAGACGACAATAAAAACAACAACAACAACAACAACAACAACAGCAGCCTAATCAACATCAACAATAAACAACATCAACAACAATAATATTAATAATTATTATTATTATCATTATACATAACAACATAAAATAAAATAAAAGTTAGATGGAAATACCAAAAATTTAATTAAGAGAATTTTTGTATTCAATCTCCGCCAAGGTTTAGGACTCTGATGACGAAACAACAAAGTCATACGAATAGACAGGTCGATCTTCCACAGTTAAACGTCTCAGTTTATGACGATTTGAAGGAATATCATGCCTCCACCAACGACATCAGCATAAATAACAACAACACCACCAACAACAACAACAACATCAACAACAACAACAACGAAATTAAAAGTAGGGACAACAACGAATGCAACAACAACGGCAACAACGGCAACAACAACAACAACAAGACTTACAACAATGAAAAGACTCCGACCAAATCAACCAGCCCGTCCGTCTTTTCTTTTATAATTCCGAGTTCATCGTCTGAGATCAGTAACATTTAATTAAAAATTTCTAGAATTTTTTTAAATTTAAAAAATTTTTAAAAATTGTAAATTCTAAAATTTAAATCTATTTCGAAAGTTATTTTTTGCTTTTGGCAAAATTTCATTCAAAAATTATTCAGCAGCAGATGAGTTTTGTATGGGATTTTGATTTTTAGTCGGTGTACGCCTAATGGGAAGCTAATGTATTTAAATGAACGTTTCTATTCTAGATCCTCTTAGATGCTATAGCTCAATTTTAAGACTGAAATTTCACATTTGACCATAAATAATTAAGAGACCAAATGTATGTTCATTCATTTATAAATTATCAGATGTTTCATTTTTTGATACGGGTTTATAGCTGTTATAACTTTTAAATATGTATCTGTGTGCTGACAAGTTAGTTGTTTCTCGTTAATCTTTCTATATTTGCCAATAATTTCATATAGTTTCTGATTTTTTTTAATTAAATTCCGTCTTTTTAAGCTTTGCTTCTAACTAACTAAAGAAGAGAAAGAGAGAGAGAGAAACAGAAAGAGAGAAAGACAGAGAGACAGAGAGAAAGAAAGAGAGAGAGAGAAGATATGTATAATTAATGTATAATCATTGCAAAATTATCAAACACCCACACACGCGCACACACGCAGTGGGGGGTTTTTTGGTCCCAAAACGCTGGGACGTATAACACACTGTCAGAAAACTGGCTAACGGATTTACGTTGAGAAACATCAACATTAATAATGACAATAATAATTGTATTGATATAATAACATTGCAACAACGAAATATTTGTAAATAATAACAACAACAATAATAATAGGAATAATAATAATTATAGTGGAATGTTAGATTTTCTCTTAGTTCAGAAAATTACGTAAATTGTATAGCAGTTGAGCTGAAGAGATGTATGACAATGGATGGCTGTGGCTGTGTTTTTACCTTTCTCAATGTAGGTATGCAGTTATTGTCATGTTAAATGTTATGCTATGTTATTTGTCATACCTTTGTTACTCGTTTTGAAAATTCATTTTGAAGTTGTAAATTTCAAAGTGGAATATTGTAATTTTTGGTATTATAAATGACGTTTTGAGAAGATTTGATGAATTTTAATAGTGCTAGACCGACGCATTCACTGTTGAGGTTTTAATTTGAAATTAGAAAGAATAAGGAAACTGATGATTGTCGCTGAAATGACTTTCACCAAAACGCTTATTTGTAAGTTGGGTTTTAAGTATTGCACTTTCATTCGTTTAAATGGTCATTTTATTTGAAATTTACACATCTACACGCGTCATATTACTCACTCACCACCAAAAAATAACCTAAAAAAATTGTTGTTTACTCCAAAAAAAACCCAGGTATCTTTCTCTTCTTGACACAGCTCACCAAATATGTGAGGTGTTCGTGCCCGGCGTTGTTCTATTTCACCCAAACACAAGTTTTGAGTTCACTTGAAGATGCTAGAAAGGACTGCAGCAGACGAAACCTGACACTACTGGAGATCAAGGACCAAGAGATGCAAAGTGCCGTAGAGGAATATGTTTTCAAGAATCAACATTTAGACGGAAAGCGGATCTGGCTGAATCTCTACACAATTAATAGCTTTTTCTATTGGAAAACAACTGAAGGCTATGAGAAGTTAACTTACATAAAAATGATCGTCCCTGGTGATATATTTTACTTGAGTTGCAGCAAAAATTTAAATGGCGTGTATGATTGTTGGTGGTACGCTGATTTTTCCACATCCTCTATACTAGTTACCGGGTGTATTTACCTCTGCTATTGCAAGCAGCAAGGTTATCATCCGCTCTATACTGAATATTTTTAAAATTGTATCTTTAGTATTTTGAAATAAATTTACCACTCATTAAAAATGTAATTAGTGCAAAAACTTTTGCTCCTACAAACTTGCATTTAGTGACCCCTGATACCGGGGATCATGGGGAGACACTTCCTCTGCCACCAACAACATCATCGCCATCTTCATCATCGCCATCTTCACCATCGTCATCTTCATCATCGCTAGCAGTGGGCTTGGGAGTGGGAATTCCTTCACTGATTATCATAATCACTGCGGTCGTCATCATCGTCGTTCTTCTGCGCAAGTAAGTGCTGAAGCCACATGCTTACATTTCTTGCATTGACACTCATACATTTTTTATTGAATTTTCTATACGATAAACTTCTACCCTACAATTTTGTTCCAACACATTTCTGTTGTTAAATAATTTTTCCTTCGTAGTTTTATAGACTGTGTTTTACGTGTTCTACTTGCATAGAACTTTCTCCATATTTTTTAGAAATATCGATAATAAACTCACAATGCAGGTTAAATACACTTGAATCAGTGTGCCACACACACACACACACACACACACACACCTTCTAAATCATAGGAATAAAAAATGATAATTTGTGTATCAACTTCGATAGTTTTCTGTTACCTGATTGGAATTCATTTGCCGATTTTTTTAATTTTTCACAAATTAATCTGCCATTCAATGCTTAAGATTCAAAACTCATTCAAATAACAATCATTGAACTCTTCAACAATTTCATTTAGGCTTAAATCAATGAAAGAACAGCTGGAAAATGAGCAAGGCACTCGTCCAAAAGCAAGCGTTTATGAAGTATTAAACTATAGTGGTGTGGGATTAAACTCAAACAACAACAACAACCATAATTTAAATAATAAAAACTTAAATAACAACAACAACAACGGCAACAATAATAATGGGACCGGTTACGGTAATCAAAATTCTTTCTCTGTCAACAACGTCAACAACAACAACAACAACAACTTCAACAACAACAACGTCAACAACAACAACAACAACAACAACGTCACCAACAACAATTACTGTAATAAAAATTCTGGCGTCAAAAACGAAACTCTGCCAAATCAAAATACCGTTAACATTTCAAAGGCGTAAGTTGCATGAACACCAACAGTTATACACTGATACCTTGGTATCTACACTACATATTGCATAAACATTTAAAATTGAAAGACGTTTCTGATGTTTTATGAAAATTAACCTATCCTCTTTTTCGTCTGGCTTCAATATTTTTCTATACTTTATAAAGTTCTAATTTTAACTTCTACAAGATTTTACTCAAGAAACTAGAGTGAAGCTAGAGCTTCTAAAGTTATTCAATAGGGACGCTCCACAAATCATTCGATACAGATACAGACATGACTATTTTGATTCTTGCCGTTTTGCGTATGATGATGTCAGACAAATTTAATTTAAATGTCAGATTTTCAAAATATTCACCCAAAAATTAAATAGTTTTCTTCTTTTTTTATTGGGCTCTTACGAGGTACTAGCAAGTTATTGATATCTTCATTCGAATGAAATTAAAGCTGAAAAATTGTAAAAAGAGATTTAGAAATAAGTGTCAGTTATTTAGAATGTAAAACCTTCTTGCCTTTATATGTTGCTTATTAACTTCATTTTAACTTTTTAATATTATATAATATGTGTTTGGAAAAACTATAGAACTAATTGATTGTTAATTAATTTCGTTATTTAAAAACTGCCGGTTAATGTGCTTTTAATTCCCAGCTTGAAAATTAGACCATCAATTTTGCATAATTTTAACCACTAAGATTTAATTTTTTTGTTTCTGAACGTAATTAACAGGTCGATAAAAAAAAGTTTCGTTTTGTTTTCATTAAAATTAAAGTGAAATTAATATAATATCAGTTTCACCTTTTAAGATAATTCAAATCGATGAATATGTAACACGTTGAAAAGCATTCAAAGTTAAATTAAATTGCTACGTCTAAAAAATTTAACACAAGTATGAGGAAGGATATTTTAAGGTCTCTGAGCAGCCCGTTTTGTAAGAGAGTTGAATACTGCAATTTCATCTTGTATGATGTCATACAAGTGTGTGTGTGTGTGTGTGTGTGTGTGTGTGTGTGTGTGTGTGTCTGTGTGTGTGTGCCTGTGTGTGTGTGTCATTGATGTCTCAGATATAATAAATTGAAAGATTAATTAGTTATAAAACGCATAAAACACCTGAACAAAAATATTAAGTATTCTTCCTTTTCTTTCTCGACATTGGCGACCATCGACCTCCACAAAAGCTGATCTTCAATATTTTGCGGTTGTTGGAATGTAGTAGTAGTTGTTGAAATGTAGTAGTTGTTGAAATGTAGTAGTAGTAGTTGTTGAATGCAAAATGTTTTCGGAATGAATAAAAGATCAATTATTTAATGATGAGTGGCAAGCACTTCTTTTGTGATCGAGTGAGTAAAATTGCTCAGTGAACACTCCCAGTTTCATTTCTAATAATCAGGAATAACAACGACGCATAACATTCTTGAAGTCCTCGTGTCACCTGTTGAATATCACCACATTTCAACCACTACAAAGTGTTAAAGATCGGGTTTTGGGGAGGTCGATGGTCGCCAATGTCTCGAAAGGATAAGGCACGAGAAAGAAGAATCAGGAATGAAAAAAAATTCTAAAATCAGAGCTTCAACTAGCTACAAAAATAATAAAAATAATTAATCTCTTAAAAACGAAAAACATTTTTTTTAAATCTATAGAAATATATCAAGTGTAACACACGAAGCATCCACACGCATCGTATCTGGCACTGACATGTGGAGGTACCTGCATTGATGTCCCATCACTGTAGCAGCAGAACGAAGAAGATTAAACATCGAAAGAAAAATACACAGGTGTAGAAAGAGAGATGGAGAAAGAGAGAGAAAAGAGAGAGAGAAAAAAAGGAAGGGAAAGAGAGAGAGAGAGAGAGAGAGAAATATATCGAGTGAGAACAGAAAAATAGTAAATCGAATGTGTGTACAGTACACTTTATGTATTCACACCTTAAAAATGTGTTAGAACACTAAACAACATTAGAGTAGAGAGAGAGAGAGAGAGAGAGAGAGAGAGAAAGAGAAAGAGAGAGAGAGAGAGAGAGTGAAATAAAACATATTGAGAGAGAAGATGAAAGGCAGAGAAAGAAGGGCATGTACACTTCATACTTTAAAATTGTGACAAAATAAATAGAAGCTCTTAACGACTCTGATTAATTAAGCGAGGCATTGGTGCAACTGACGCGAAGTAAGATTTCATGTTCCATTCATGTGTTTTTTAATATAACGCTGTGCGGGTAAGGTCTGTCTTTCTGTGATAGTTTAAGTGTTAGGCTCTTCAGGTGTATTTATATTTTAAAATATAGATATTGAAAAAAAAATATTTCAAAATTATAAAGCACATATATTCCTTTGAGTTTGCTGTTTTGAAGATCAAATTGGAGGAATGTGCAGGATGGGGGAAAACATCATGATCGGTTTTTGTTTTTTGGCTTTTTCAATTTTTCAAATTTCAAAAATTTCGGTGTTTAAATTAGAAAAAATGATTTTAAAATTTTCAATTCAATATTTAGTATTCTATATCAATCAATCAATCAATCAATCAATCAATCAATCAATCAATCAATCAATCAATCAATCAATCAATCAATCAATCAATCAATCAATCAACCAATCAATCAATCAATCAATCAATCACTCAATCGAACAATCAGACAAACACAAATATATTAAATATTTATAGCTCAATTTTGTTTTTTGCTCTCTAGCCAAACTGGAAATAACAATAAGGCGTTGTTATATTAAATCAGTTTTTCTAATCAAAATTATCAGCGGCACGCACACACACGCACACACACACACACACACACACGCACACACGCACACACATATATAAATACAAAACATTGCTACTGGCAAGCCTGAATTTCTTTCCAATCGAATCCAGTCAGACAGTTGGGTGTGTGCATCCGTGTGAGTGTGTGTTCGTGTGTAGCTGTATGTGTATGTGTGTGTGTGTGTTTGTGTTTGTGTGTTTTTTTGTTGGCAGTTGTATTGTTGATGTTGTTTATTTGATTGGTATTGTTAACGTTTTTTCGTGTGAATGTTGTCGATGTTTTGTTCAGAAGCGATATAGTTGCCTATTTTTAATGTTTCATTCATTCATTCAACTTTATTTATTGGTTCGTTCGTTCATTCATTCCATCATTCACTCAGTCATTTTGCTATTCCTTCATTCATTCATTCATTCATTCATTCATTCATTCATTCATTCATTCATTCATTCATTCATTCATTCATTTCCATGCAATCGTTTTTTGTTCATTCATTCACTCATTCATTCACTTATTCATACACTCATTCATTCACTTATTCATTCACTCATTCATTCATTCATTCACTCACTCACTTATTCATTCATTCGTACATTCTTTCTTCTGTTCGTTCATTTTTTTAAATTAAAATTGGCAACGATTAAAAATTATCTAGAACGCTAAAAATTGCAACAAATCATTATTTTTTTAAATTATTTTTATTATTATGGCCAATTTTTTTTATTATTATTAAAATTATTACATTATTACATTGTTGTTCTTGCTGCTGTTGTTGTTGTTGTTGTTGTTGTAGTTGTTTTTGTTGTTGTTAATGTTGAGGTTAGGATCACGAACATTACGAACACCAGGTTACATTGCATAACATTTTATTCCATTACATCACATTACATAGCTTTAATTACATTACAATACATTAATTTAATTTAAATCGCATCACATTATCTTGCGAAATGCAACAATGTCCTGTCGTTCTCTGTCTTTCTCTAGCTCTTAGTGGTGTCATAGGGAGAACCGATTTTTAAATTAATGGCACAAATCTTGAAGACATCAGCTCTTGTCAGAATGAATTAACGTATCTAAGTTTGTGTGTGTGTGCGCGCGCGTGTGTGTTTGTCTGTGTGTTTGTCTGTGTGTGTGTGTGTGTGTGTGTGTGTGTGTGTGTGTGTGTGTGTGTGTGTGTATGTGTGCGGGTACAGGGTACGAAATTGAATTTAAAATTAAACCTCGTTACATAATAGTAACTCGATTCAATTTTTACATCGATTTTAAAACTGAAACTCCACCCCTCATTAATATTCAGTGGTGGCAGCCATCTTTGCTGTGTGGACAGTCAATGTGGAATCACTCCTCTCCCCGCCCACAGACGTGTGCGTGCGTGGCTTATGTTATGAAAAAATTAACACTATAATGCAATTTTCACAGTGTCAAACAACATGTCAATCAAAAAATCAAATGGTTCTTGAAATCAGGAGTCCAGAAAATTTGACAACAACTGATGGTATACTTCATGGCATATTCGGTGTCTATAGAACGTGGTTGAATATTCGCGTGGTGAGTGCCAGCGAGTTGTATTGGGTCTTTGATGGCAGACCAGTTCCAGCCGATTTCATTCCAATGTCAGTCTCTACTTCTGGAGATTCTGCAATTTTTTCACATTTTCAAATGTTTGTCACCATAACTTCATCTTCAAACCTGAACTACTGCGTCTGTTACAACGGTTAGAATGCCATTCAGGGTCTGGTGAAATTTCTTTTGAAAACTATTCGCATTCACATTTGTGAGAAAATTAATTTCAGGGACAACGACGACATCAACAACTTCGACGATGACATCAACAACTTCGACGATGACATCAACAGCTACGGCGATGACATCACAGCTGCCAACAGTAGCCTCAACATCAGCATCCTTTTCCTCATCTTCATCTTCATCAACTCAGGTACTATCAGCAAGCCGTGATATATATGTCGCCGTGGGATGCATATTAGCATCTATAATTAGTGCTGCCTTCATACTCGTTATACTTTATTATTCCATCATTTTGAAATGAATTTTTAACATTAAGCAACACTCGAAACATTAGTTAACATTTCCATGACATCAATTAACATTTGTGAGGCATTGAATAACCTTTATAACTTTAAGTAATGTGGTTATTGGGGTCAAATAATACCCACAACATTGGATTACGTGCTTATAACCTTATTTAACATTTATAACACCAAATAATAAGCTTGAAATAATAATTAACATGTTCAAAACATGCTTTTAACTTATCTTAATACATTTTATAGCTATTTGTATGTATATATAACCACGGATATATATATATATATATGTATGTGTGTGTGTGTGTGTGTGTGTGTGTCTGTATGTGTGTTCTCTGTGTGTGTGTTCTCTGTGTGTATGTGTGCATGTGCATGTATGTGTTTAAGTGTGTGCGTGTTGCATATATCTACACATCAAGTTATAAAAATAGGTTTGGTGATTTATACGTGATCAACATATTTAATGTTATTACATGACATAACACGTTTATAACATTAATTAACATTTTTACAACACTGAATAGGACGCTTATAACATTAATTAACAGGTTTGTGTCATTAATTAACATGGTTATAACATAGAATAACATTCATAACGTCAAATAACTTGCTTATAACACAGATTATTGTGTTTTAAATGTTGATTTTCGTGTTTATGATGCTGATTAGCATGCTTTCAACTAATTAAAATACATTTTAGTTGTGAAAATGTTAATACGCATGGTTTGAAAACAATTTTGTCAAGTTAACATCAGATGCACAGGTTCCTAGACGACGAAAAAGCAATTTTGTATTAATGAACGTTAATAAATTATTGTCGAAGTTGACACGCTGATTCATTTGGTTAAATATATTTTTCATTCAAATTATTTAACTCATTTAAAATGCTGTTGAACGTTTATTTAATAAAATTAACATCATCAAAATTTCGTGTCATGTGTTCAACTTTATGTGAAAATAGAAATCTGCCAGACTGTCACATGGAGAATATTCGAACCGGTAACAATTTCAATCTGAAAAATTCGAGGAGGTTAGCGATTTTTGGCTAAAAACAACAACATAATTTAGAAAATAATGATAAAAGTAGGGTGTGATTACTGCCCTCTGATCTTCACAATAAAGGAACTTCCACTTAAAATAGACCTCAACAAAAATGGAACTGGTACGTTGTTCGTAATCCAATTGTTTTTATAGAAAACGATCCACAATGAAGCATGTGTGTGCGTGTGTGTATGCGTGCGTGCGTGCTTTTAAGATGTGCGCGTGTTCGTGTGTTCATGTGTGTGTGTGTTCGTGTGTTCGCGTGTGTGTGCGTGTGTGTGTGTGTGTTTGTGTGTGTGTGTTTGTGTGTGTGTGTTTGTATGTGCATGTCTGTCTGTTTAAATAAGCGAACAAAAGAATTAAGCTTATCTGTGATTCAAAATAAAATGTTAAGCTTTTAAGAAAAAATATTTAACTGCGTAAATAAATGTCAAAATTTTTTCAAGGTT